CTGGTGGAGCTGTGTGCAACTCGCTGCTTTAGATTCGATCAGCCCTCTTCTTTTAATTCACATAGATTTGCATCCCCTGAGTTTCACTTTGCATTTGTGGTTTGAATGAAACCCAGACATCTGGGGAGATCAGGGAGGGGAGGCAGAATTAAACTGAAACCTCCAACTTCAACCTCATTTCTTGTTAATATTTTAAGCCAATCCTTGGCACGCTTGGAGGGTTTTCAGACCTTTGGAAATCTTTTGGAAAATGTAGACTGAAGTTTGAGTTTCTTGTACAAAACCCAGTATCGGGAGGAGTGCATCGAGTGTGGGTTTGGATTCTGTAATGAAATTCAGCACAGCTTAATTTACTGATTCAGGAGTCTCATAAGCAACTTTTTCATCTCACCCATGAACTAGCACTCCAAGCTTACCCAATCACACTTATCTAAAGAGTGGGAAACCAAAGGCTGAAACTCAAGGGCAGCAGACAGAAAACCAGGTTAATGACTACATTATCGTGAGGTTTTATTTGACCAATATTTGGGCTACTAAGTGTTTCCTGTTGGACTAGGCCACAAATTGGCTCATGCCGCTTTTTCTTTGCCTCTCTCTGGATCACTTTCAAACATATAGGAAAATTTGTGAGGAAAGAAAAATTAGCTTTGAATGCTCCTGTTAACACAGCACTTTGTTGAGCAACTGTAACCTGTTGCCCATCTTATTCTCTGATAAGTATGACTTGTTTTCTGGTATTTTAAATCCACTGTTTCTGGAAACAGCATACATGATAAGGTTGACAGGCTCATAAGCTAAGAGAACCTGCCTGATTTAGCTCCATGGTTGTCCCTGACATGGGAATGGTGGAGCATTCTCTCATGGGAAATAGACCTACACAGGGCTCTTCCTTCTTCACTGTCTTATACAGTGGGAGATGAAGGTCTTCTCTTAGATAAGAAAAGATTTATGGGTTTAGGTCTTCCTTTACCGTAGATCCTTTACATCGCTCTGGCAGTGTGTACACGAGACGCTGACTGCACAGTAGTCCGATACTACTATGCAGTAGTATTAGGCTACTGCACAGTCAGAGTCACAAAAAAGGAGTTTGTTGGCGTTTAGTATACAAGTACTAAATGACTGCACAGTCAGCATCTTATGTAGATACAGTCACTGTCAAGGTAAACATGCCTTAACCTGGTCCCATATAATGTTTATGTACTCATTAAGGCCAGTTATTAGTCTACCGTGGTGAAAAATCTGTTGTGCTGTTTCATGTTTAAGCGCTTCATACTTATAGTCAAGACCTGTATCCAGCACCTGGTGTGTATTTTGGCCTGTATAACAGTACTCAGCATCAAAGTGGTTAAACCAGTCATTGCTTCCCAAATTCTGGCATGTGCAACACCTGGTGTCTGCAGTTTATGTGTTTTGGTGGCTTATTCTCCTTTAACAATAAACACATGTTCTGGGCCCTTGCATGCTGTTGGGTCCCATCTCTCATTTCAGTGCTCTATCCCAGAGCAGATTTGAAGCTGCTCCAAACCTCAGCATCACTCATGAGCACCATTTCAGGTTAGAACGCACACAGTGGAATAGGAGGCAAAGCACAGTGGCTGGCATTACACAGGGATTAGTCCAGTAAACTGGCTTGCTAGACAAAACACAGAATTCTCTAGTGAGCCAATAGTGGTCAGAGCTTAATTCCATTATATGAGCAGCGCAAAGGGCTGCCAACTTTTCCTGCAGAATATTTCATTGGACTCAGTTTTTGTCATAGGGCACATGACTCTAAGTTACCTAAGATGCCTATACTGGATCTGGGAGCAAATTCTTGCAATAAATAGAAAACAATGTTATTCAAGGAAGCAAAACTTTTTTGATCCTTGTTTTCTCCTGGGCAGCCCCTTAAGTTGCCAAACCCATACTTCTGGGGGCACAAAGGTGGAGAGGATAGGTCCCAAACACTGTGCTAACTAGCTAGCTGGGATTTTTGCTCTTTGCGGTCATGAAATGCTTTTTCTCTTTACCTCTTACTCCACATGGATTTAATAAGGCAGGGACCCCAGTAAGCTAGCAGGTAGAAGATGGTATAGTATGTGAAGCTAAACCAGGGGTAGGCAAAATAGCAGATCCAACTGGTGGTTGGACTTCATTTCCCAGCAGCAACTGCCTATGCGGCTCCCAGTGGGTCTCCCTGGAGTCCTCTGCAGGCTGGATTCAGCTGTGGGCTGGACTTTACCTACCCATGATCTAAATGCATATATGGCTCCAGACAGAAGGGGAAATTAAAACAGAATATTATTTCCTAGGGCTACAAACAGCTGACTGTATATTGTCAAGATCCGTAAGAACCATGTCTAGCTTTGAAATATGAAACAGCTCTCAAATGTAATAGGGTGAAGCAGACCCTTGAGTTTTCAATGTGTAAAGCTCTCATTTAACTTGCTGAAATGCTGATGGAGATCCACTAACCTACTTAAAACTATTCCCCTGCCTCACTTGAGTGTTACTTATCCTCACTTGTTTTTTCATTGAGAGAATACTGTTCTTGTGGGACTTGCTAAATTGATGGCCCTAGAGCTACAAAGACTGAAGCCCTCTGACTATTCCCAAAGCACCAGCACTGTGAGCATTGTTCACACACTAACATGCAAGTCCTGACTAACAGGGAGCATTTTTAAAGGGAAAATAAAACATTTTAATAAGAAAAATTACTTTTGGAGAAAGATTGGGAATTTTTTAAAAACATAAATCTCAGAATTTTTTTGACAAAATAAAAAGTTGGGCTGAAACATTTAGAACAGTTCCAATTCCAATGTTGGAGTGCTTTGCTCTGTTTGCCATTAACAACTACCATAGCAGTATGATATCAAACTGTAGCCCTATCTAGGGTGATCACCTTTTCAAAATGGAAAGGCGGGATACATGCTTATCCCCCTCACTGCTACTGGCAGCACAGGCAGAGCAGAGCTGAGTGGAGCAGGAGTGGGGGTGGATGCAGGCTGCCCAGTGTGGGCTCAGGGCCCTGCTGCTTTTCCCCCAGGAGCTCTGTACTGGCCACGCACCCCCTGCCTGCATGGCAGCGGTGTGGGGTACAACTCCATGCCACTGCCCCTGCTGCTGCCAGGCTGGCAGGGGGTGCCTCGCCATGGCGGTGTGGCCAGCGTGGGGCTCCAAGGGAGAGGGCAGCAGGGCAGGAAGCCCTGAGGCCACAGTGTGCAGCCCGCATCTCCCCCTGCCTCGCACACAAATCTGGGGAACATGTCTCCTCCATGTCCTCCCCCCACACCAGGATTGTGTGCAGCGGCAGGGAGCTGTCCCTGCCCCCCTACCTCCTGGATGAGCTGCTTATGGCCCTGTGCTGCTCCACGCTCTGACCTCAGGGCCCATGTACTGCCCTGGCTGGGCAGCACCCCAGCCCCTGTCCTACTCCCTGCCACACTGTGGGGCCTCAATCTGCACCCCCTCCCTCTTCCCCCCCCCCCCCCCCCCTCCACCCCAGGGGGGCGGTCCCCTCCCTTC